TCGGTATCCTTCCCTCCAGTTAAGTTGAACATGCGAAACTGCTTATCATTGTTGTTGCATAAAAATATCTTTATCAATTACTTACAGATGCCGATCTTTCATAATTGTAAAAATACATTTGCTGGAAACGTCTACCCAGTTGAAAGCCAGTCTTCCCGGAGATGCTGAAAAGTATAGGCTACTTCCACATTTGTACGACGAAAGAGGAATATGTAGAAATAGGTGGCTATTTTATGAGGCATAGTAACATCTATACTCACAACACACGATCAACCCACATGCACTTTTTTCTATTTACTTTCTTTGTCACATTCTAAAACTCATAATTGCTATATAAGGGAGTAAAATGTGAAACAATATACCGAGTGAGTTAAAAAGCATGCCCCATCAGCTCTTCACATCACAGTTAAAAATACATTTATTCCCACAATATAGAGCCTACTTTAGGATAGACTTTTTGGGATGGTACTTCGCCTTTGTTATGTGTGTCACATAAACAGTATTGCGGTAGGCATTACATATTACGGTATTACCTTCGAGTTAATGCCTATTTACAAGTAGCCGACCATAGCAGTCCTACTGCATCCTATCATTAATAAATGGTAACCTTCTAGTAATTGTGTTTTTAGACACTCAGGTACGTTTTCGTCTTGCCTTATGTCAAGATTGTTCATTCTTTGTTTTCTTATTAATTCATTCATATTCATTCTTAGCAGTCTACTTTTCCGACACATTTTACACTTGACATTTCATTGCCATTTTCCTCAGGCAATGATATTTTATATCTGAGCATCGGCTCAGTCGCCATTTCAACTTATTGTCGAATTATTTTCAATCTATGTGCGAAACATGTTTCATTTCATAAAAATATATATTTATCCACCCTGTTCATTTGTACATTTACAAGCGATACCGGTAGGCTACCGCTGGCAATTAACGTTAATAATCAAATGCAAATATTCTTTATTTTAACACTTGTGTGTCAATCTTATCTTATATATTGTATCTGTTTTTCCTCATCAATGGTCATTGTCTACCATTTCACACCACGAGGATGGCTGGGTCACCTTTAAATTTCCCCAAATATTTCTCAGAACAGCACGTTCGCTTCACGTGGTGCATAGAGTTGGAGATTCTCCGTTTATTCGTTGGTTGTGCTGCTCATTAAATACATGTCAATTTCTATTAATAATCTATTTCTAATAAACGATGTTAGTCGAATAATTCGCAATCGCAATCGCATCGCAATTGGTTCCCCGCGGCTTCTCTTTCTATTTAAAACTGTAAATATCATTTTCTCGTAATTTGTGTGCGATTTTTTTACCGGTTGGAAAAAATAAACTCGACGAATCCAGTCTCACTTCTACCCTGCCTGCAGAGGCATGTCCTATAATCTGTTGGCACAAAATAATATTGATACAAGGCGCTGTGAGATTGGACAGCCTAACGATACCACTTGTAGAATAACAAACATCCTGAATAATAAATACGGGCAACGATTTCTGCCACTACCACAACGATAATGTTTGTCGAAAATATTTTTGCAGCTGTGATCCTTACCCAGCCCAGTTCTCAAGCTTATACGCTGAATACCGTTAACCTAGCAGACTACAAAGATTTCTGTCCCCTGCTGTGGCTTGAAAAGCAAAAGTATGCACTGTTTACATAGCAGTAATAAGACAAATAACTTGACAACTGATTGTCAAAGGCAATTTTTGTTAACACTATACAAAGGTTATTCTGGCACAAATTTAGGTAACAGTATGACCACTACCAAGTCTGCAGTTTTATCCTCTCAAATCTTTTGACATATTACATATCAAAAAGGTCGAATTATATATATCGGGGGAGAGGAAAGTCGCTAAATCATATGGCGAACCACAACCTCACGTTACCATTACATGTTAGGTATGGTGAGTCCAGCAATCCTCTCGCACATAATTATTCCCAACGGGATTTGAACCTGCGAACCCACGCAGGTTAATCAGAGGTGCGGTGGCTGGCGTATTCCCAACGCTAAGAACGATGCGCCACACTGCCGAGCCGAAGACATTTCTCTCTGATCACTATGGTAGAGATTCACATCTCGAGATGGCAACTCAAGTTGCTGTTGCTGAGTGTGGCGTTGATAAACGCCTATCGATTTAGTAAGATCCCGCGCGATACTCGTGGACAGCAGTGTCGTAAAGGTAGCAGATAGATATGGTAATGCATTGAAGCCAAGTACTCGTATAAGGGTGAGTTATTTTTTAAACTGGTGATCTTATTTTTTTAAACTGGTGCCCGTTGGATTGTTGGATTTTTTACAGATCCTGGTTGCTTTACTCGGCTTCCTGCGCTCGACTGTTCAAGGTAACTAATTCATTTTACGTCAGATTCGCTTTTTTCTCGCGATCATTTATCGATGCGAGTAATCTAGTGACGAAATTAGTAAAGGTGTGCTTTCAGGTATACATCTGTAAAAGCATTAAAATACCGTCTGTCAACGCGAGTAAGGCACGCTCTTGCTGAATCACAGTGAGTGGTAGTAATGACGCAAGAGGTAATCAATGAGATTCGAGAGATACAAAAGGACCGGGCGTAAAAAGGAAAGCCACTGTATACAATCAGGATTTGGAGAGCGATCAGAAGAGGGGAAGAAGTAATGGCGGGGGTGATCGTCGAGCTTGATATTATCAGCCTGAAGCCAACGCGTGTGTAAAGTCATGCAGTTAATGAAAAGACTAGTACATCGGATTGGATATTAAATGACTCAAAAAAAGAACCTATCAAGAGACGAGTGACGGAGAACAGACAGATAGACTGCTTTCCATCCGATAAATTCAGTTTATTTTATAATCAACTTATCGAGATGAACAATAATTGAACCTTAGTCTAAACGGAGCAGAGCATAAGAAACATTTTTGTACCAAATCATTTTTCTTCAGCAGTCAATGTCTGAGGGCCCGTTAAAAGCTGTAAGTGGCTATTTTCTTGTGAATACTAAGGATGTTTATGAACAAGCTGAATCGGAGCTCAAGGTACTGTTGTAGCGGACACAGTTTTTTTTTTTCAATAGGCTAAATAATGGCCATGTATTTAAAAACGGAAATCTTCTCATTTTGAGAGACAGGTAACGAAAGTCAGGAAAAAGATAATGAACTTATCTTGGCTTCATATGAGTGAAGAAATGCAGGGATGGGCGGTTCAAATGTTTGTGCTGTGCCTGATCAGCTTGGTGGCATAGAATTCGAAGACCTTACATGTGTTGATTAAAGCAATGTCTGATACACAAATGTTGACGTAGTGTGTTCTTAATGGCCAATCGAATTCAAGCTTTATAACTGATAATTATATTCTAATCGTTTGAATTTGAGTGATTGTAATACTCGGGTTACTTTGCCAACCATGAGCGGACGACATAATAAATTTCAGAATATCAAAATTCTGAGTTATGACCGTAGGGAAATTGTTCGTTTCTGAAGGCGCCGTCCGGAAGAGCACAATAAAAAAACGCGTCCACAATGAATTTTTGGTATTGCCTTCTGTGGCACACCGTGATCGAATCGGACATTGTTGTGAGTAGGTACAACGTGACAATCACTACAGTGGGAAAAGGTGACTTTGCACCCTCTCTAGATTCTTTCAACAAAACGCTGTCAATAAAATAATCGTCAAGTACATAGATTCATGCGCTTCACCACATCCATTACGCAGATTATTTTTCCCACATATCGATAAAAAGTTCTTGTTTCAATTAAATAAACCTACGTTATGCATGTCATGCTAATTGAAACTGAATTTTCTAACAACTACGAGCTTCCTGCCTCACCACCTGATTCTTTTCCATATGAAAGCGAACTAATGCCGTCTTTTTTAGCAGAAAGGTTATATTGATGGAGCCTAATCAAAAAAATATAAAGACTAGCTTACATACACAAAAAAAAAGTGCGACAATTTTTTATATCGAAAAACTACAACAGCACCTTTAAAATAAATGTAATATTGTTGCCAAATTTTCAATATGGAGAAGGAATATTTAGATATAAACTACTGCGACAATGGAAAAGTACTGTTCAGTACCTTTTACATTATAAGCGAATTCAATTTTTTGTCTTTATTTGTTGCACTTTTCATTGTGTAGACACAATACTTATTAAACAAGCAATTTTAACTACAGTAATTACCAAATTATAAGGTATATGGAAACGTTCGGGAAGGCGTGTATTAGTCAAATAGTATATAAGTGTATCAAACATATAGTATAGGTATCATTATCATTAAACCAACATTTCAAAATCCTATTTAGAACTATTTCCAATCGTACACTTTCATTTAATTTCGTGTTTCAGGATATATATTTTTTCAGTTTTATATGATTATACCTAATTCAAAAATTTCTTAGTGATAAGGAATAAAGCATTAGAGCAACACGATGAAGTTGGATTTCTTGTTAACGACAATTTTTAGCCTCAACATTGGAGTTGAAACCAAATCCTTGTACGAGAAAGGATAGTCGCGACAATATACTGAATCCACCTGACTGCGAGGATGGTCGGCAAGGCTTTTTGGTTGGTGGAGTTTTTTTGGTTGTAGTTTTCCTTGTAGTAGGTTTTCGAGTGGATTTTTGAATTCGTTTGGTTCGTGGCTCTTTGGTTGTTGTTCTTGCAGTAGATTTTCGAGTGGATTTTTGAATTCGGTTGGTTCGTGACCCTTTGGTTGTTGTTCTTCCTGTAGGTTTTGGAGTAGATTTTTGAATTCGCTTGGTTCGTGGCACTTTGGTTGTTGTTCTTTTGTTTATCGGTTTTCTGGGAGTTGGTATTGGATTTTTTAGTCCTGTTTTTTTAGTCACAGGTCTTGTTTTAGCACTCAACGGCTTATTAGTTGTAGGCTTGGCTCGAGTTGGTTTTACCGTAATACGTTTTGGTCGCGTCGTCTTCACTGACTTTTGAGTAACTGTTTGTGGTTTTGTTTTAGCCAAGCCAGGGTTTACTTTGAATAAACCTGGCTTTGACTTTGAATTCGGAAGATTCTGGATGCCCACAGTTGGTTTCGGCTGAGAAGTTGTGTTTGGAGTCGACTCGGGTACACACTTCGTTAAGCGATTGGTGAAGTTTCCACTGCTGTTGAATTTAAGCAAAGAAGGCGGCAACTTGTATTCATTCGGGATAATACCGCGCTTTGTGCCAGCTAAAAAATATTAGATAAAAGGTAAATAAATATACAAAAGTGTATATATACCTATATATATATATTTATTAAACTTTCGGAATTAAAATGCACAAACACTGCAAAAGTTGAGTTATGCGTGAGAATTAAAACATTATATGCCAAACTGGGTTAACATCAATTTTGTGAATTATATTTATATCATTCTCTGCTTTACCTATTACTAGTAAGGCTAGGCATTTTCGTATACCTGATTATTTCAGATTATTTGAATATCTGAAGATTAACTGACGGATTTACTTAGGTCTTTGGCAAACGAAAAAAAAAATGGCGGCGATTCGAAATTTTGTCTTAACTGAATAAGTTAACCAGCCCTAATTGCTAGCCTAGTACCATAATTTGATTAAAATATTAAATTTAGATGTCTGATGAAAACAATATGACTGACTCGAAATATAGTGGAAGAATCTGCTGCTTACCATAGTGCTCTCTGCTTATTTTCTTATTGTACTTTGTATATTTTTAAATAACAGTCTGATACCTGTAATCTTAAAATTGTCAAATTCTATTCACACTGAAACTAATTATTTAAAGATAGTGTTAACGAACCTCCTTTCATGATGCAAGTACAATTGTACATACAGCAATGGGTATTCGTTTTTTTCCACAATCTTTTGCTTGAACTGTTTTGTTGGTATGAAACTGATAACATGGAACGATATCTTTTTCGTGTCCTGAAACTAATTTTTTAATGTTAAATATATGTAATTTTCATTAATATACCACCCAAAGAAAAGTAGCAGAAACCTACTAAAAGGAAATGGAAACTTACAGACAAAAAATGGCTAGTGGAATTTTAGACAATGCGGCCATTTTGTTTCTCATTTTGTAGCCTGCATGTCATTTATAACATTCGATCCATAAGAAGTTCTATCAGGAGTCGCTTGAATTATTTCGCGGCTACTCTGTTAACAGCCGTGATATGCAGGATCATACAAGAAATTAATATATTTATATTGTACCTAAGGTCAATCACATACCTGGTGCACAGAGGGCTTTGCTGATCCTAAATCTGAGTTGGAACGGAGTTAAACAAGTTGCAATATCCAGCATTCCGACTGCTACAACGACAAATAATATGAATTTCATGTCCATATCTGAGCTTATGATTGTGAAGATTATAACAAAACGTATGTCTAGAAATGGAATAAAGTGAAATAGGATTACAATAACTTCAATCATATAAGTCCAAACTTGCTAGATTTACTCTAAGCCTTTTTTAGGTTTCAAAGCAGCATGTTCCATTCAATACTTATTGGGGTGGTAAACTAATACTCAGTACTTTAATAAAATTTATCAATTTTTGTTCTCTATCTGTATAGAAAATATTGGAATTTACACAGAAATTTCTGTGTGCCAAATAAAAAAATAAGACTATATGAAACAACTTCTTATTTTTGTCCACGGTATTTGTTGAATTGCTAGTTCAGGTAACTCATAAATACGATTTCTATTTTAAATTCTACTCGAAAATATAAGCTCTGTCAGATGAAAATACAACAAAAATTTGATTAGCTGATATATTACTTCAATAGAAAAAATCAAATGTCGTGCGCATGTTGCTTAAACTTAATTTTGTTAAACAAAAAAAATGGCGGCATTTGGAAAGCGCGAATATTTTTTTTTAGTTTTATGCCAAATGACCTCACCTTGTTCTGACTACTGGAACAAAATGGAGTGTTTAATATTCAATTTTTAATGAATAATATGAGTATATAGCTAGATACAAGTACAACATATGTAAATCAATTATTTCTGGGCACATGAAGTAGGGCGAATTTTATTAGGCATTTCACTTAAAGCTTTATGAAATGTTGGAAGATATACGTTCGAGATATATATATATCGTTGAAAATCCCACTGTATCCGTGCCACTTTATTGTTCTGGTAATCGGGTCAGAGTTTTTTCAAATCTGGACAGTTTTTAAATTATTTAACTATAGCTCATGCTGACTAATTACCAACTTGTTATCATTGAATGAATTGTTCAATATGATATTAACACTTTGAAAACGCGTAGTTGCTGTTTATATGAATACCAAGTACTAATTCATACAAGAACGACACATTACTGTCACCGTTTCTGAAAATAAATATTAATTCAGGCGATGAAGCCTCTACCGTACTTTGGGCTCCAATAGCATCGACTTTAGTTGAAGTCAACTTACCTTTCGAGTCTACATGATAGAGAGATTGCTTGACCCATTTATATAGAGCGTGCAGAGAATACACCGGTATTAAAAAATTCTTTAAAATTTCATATTCTTTAGATCGTTTTTGTAATTTGATGTTGATACCCAAAACATGTCAAACGTATCTCATTGCCTAAATTAGTCGAAAAATCAGCGTAATTATGACGTCAAAATCAATATCATTTCAAATAAACAATTAAGGGACACTTCAAGTTATAACATTGTCGTGTGATTGAACGTAGCAGTGCAGCCCGCTACTGTTAATCGCTGTTTTCGCACGTCATAGTGTATCTAAAAATAGCTTCTCGCTTCATGTTTATAGTTTCCCAAACAAAACTATGATGCATTTGACCTAACGAAATAATGTAATTGGAAGTCATTATAACCTTATCCGTGAGTCATGAAAATGTTAGTTTTAGCGGTATATATCATTTTTTCATGTACTTCTCAAAAGCACAGTTCCAAGAAGCCTGTCCACAGCATACGACAAATTTCACCATATTCATTAAATGAAGTTGAACTGAATCATCTCCGCCACTAATATGCAGCAAGTGTTTATTTTTGTAACTATTTCTTGAAATTGTTTGTGTGAACAATGTATAAAAACCGAATTGTGAAATTATGATATTTACTAATTTATGTTGCTTGAATGTCATAATTGAATGTCAATTTTAAAAATAGTTGGATCAGGAAATATTTATGTAAGATATATACATATATACACTAATTTTTGAACTCATTGGATGGTTAGCATTCAATACAAATGAAACTTGCAGCGTTCAAATTAAATGCAAAAAAAATGAACTTGTACGGAGTGTGTCACCAAAACCAAATGTTAAGATGTATAGAGCTAGTATTCTTAAATATCAACAACCAAGAAAGAAACATATGCATTCTGGTCGTTTTCCCAATATTATCAATGTTTTAGAATGTACAAAATTGTAATGAAATTCAACTAATATATCTATCTGAAAAAACGCCAAATTTTAACAGTTTCATGTTAAAATATTTTAACGACATCATTTTGTAGATAAGCTGATTTATTTTGTTTCCGATTGTAAAAGTAGTGTAATTTTATGACATGTTTCTTTGCCTGAGATATGATATAAATGACCATTCGTGTCCAATGGCGAAATACCTTATCACTGCAGCTTACAACAATCTAAAAGTACAAAATATATGTCCCAAAAAGCGATAATCCAATATTACGGCAATTGCGATTTTTTTTCTGTTTCAGGCAAATGAAATGACACATTCTTCGTTTTTTAAAACATTTAAAACTCCTTCTTTGTTTGCATAACCACGATTGTTTGTCCGGTTACCTCAGGTTAAGTATAATATAGGGCAGAAGATTACAAGGGCTCAATATTACAAGATGATGTATAAGAGTGGTTCATAAAAAACACAGTGTATCTGAGAAGTGATGACCACTCGACAATGACAAATAGTCCTGAAATTCATAAAACCATTCTAATGCTCTCTCCCAAAAACAATTGTAATTGCAATTCGACCACGGTAAAACAACTTGCATCGAGTATATCCAGGTATATTTATCGCCATCAATCACAACCTAGCAAATTGAGTATTGAGTCCTATGCTATTTCTTATACGATATGTGCGCTCATTGAGTTGTAAGTGGATTTCTGAGAGAGTGAATGTTTTTTTTTCATAATATATATATCTATATATCTTTTATGAATTGACAAACATGCCCCCATTGTATTTCTCAATTATTTACAAAAATTGCCGGACTGCTTGTACTGGTAGCGGAAATAAAATTAATAGATTTAACAAGGTGTAAGTAAATTTACACACTTTGCGACGAAACAGATTTTGCAGCAAAATCAGATAAAATCGTGTGCACAAATCAATATCAACTTGTCCGCTAGGTGACGGGACCACGCTACGCTTTGTTGTGAAATGTTTCTCTGTCTCTTTACACATAAAATAGTATTCACTTGCAATCGAAGTTTAATTTTACATGAGGAATTTTTATATTTCCACTCAACTGCAGCATATGCTGTGGTTATATCTTCTTCTTCGTGTACTAAATTTGTTGCAGACATCGGCGATCATGGCCTTCTATTTTAATCTGTTGCTAGTTCTCCTGAGAAGTTCATTGTTGAAAGTTGGGGTTATAAACGTAATGTTTCAAACCTAATACAAACAAGCATACCTAAATAATTTCAGTCTGGCCTTACAGGACGCAAAACGGTAATAATATGCACCGGTAAGACCACAGCTGAGCAGTGATTTTGGACTGGTCTAACGTAACGCCACCTGGCGGTGCAATATTTTCAGACATATAGTAAGTAGATTTAGGGTTAAATTTGAGCCCTATTGAAGTCAAAAAAAGTTTAAAAAAAAATTAAAAGTAATAGCCCTCTAGTGGTTTCAATATTCTTCAAGTACTAGAAATTGGAAACAAAGAAACAACAATATACTGAAACGATCCGTACGTATAGTTCGTGGCCGGTAAATCTTCTAAATAAAGTCGACAAAGCAATGACTCAGATGGGTAATCTGATATAAATTAGAATATTATCAGAATGACACGTCACATTTTCATAATAATTTATTCTTCCTTCGTTTTTGTCAGCATTTGTTTGTTTGGTGCCTCGGGTATATCCAACGGTTTACTAGATCACGCAATGAAGTTGTTGTGAGTGTGGGTTTGAGGATTAAAAAAAAACAGTATTTCACTGGAACATTTTCCTGTTGCTAACTGTAAATTTGACCAAACTCTTGAGATCACTGTGGTATCCGATACCATCCCGAACTTGATTATAAAGCCGTCGAGAATTGCGACTTTACATTTACAAGTTTATCGTAATCAACATAATTGACTGCATGTGAGAATTTAGTGAATTGACCAACTTTGTTACAATTCTTTAAACGAATAGCATTAAAGCTCTTAGATAACAATCAGAATAATGTGATATTACGAGTTCGATTTGAAAAAAGCTCTAAACCTTTGTCTTGCCTCACGGCTCATTTTGGGAATATTCTAATAATAATCTCACACGTTTCTATAAAAGAGTAAGAATAATCAAGTACACATTTAAATTCCGCGTGTTGTTTAAGAGTACCTGACTGAACTGGCCGACTGACAACTAGAAGTGGATTGAAAAAATCATTAAAAGTTAGTATGCGAAAGGTGTCTTTTTTATTCTTATAATAGAAAGGATATTTGTTGGATACCTGAAATATGATAGAAAAAAGTATAACATATCTTAAAATAGCGTAATATACGTTTAAATTTGTCTTTAAATGTTGCATATAAACCTTTATACATAAATATTGGATATCGCGCTTGAACGCTCCAAGCTTGTTTAGTATACATATTGAATAGACTGCATTATTCCAAATATACTACAAATTATTTTTTGAAAATTTATCCCAAATTAATTTTACACAGTGAATACACAGTAAAGTACAAACTCCTGACTTTGTTCTTAACATTTTTATGAATACTCTGAGAAATTTTTAGTCGATCATTTAATTCAAAATTTGTAATAAAAAAATGAATGAAAATTGTTAATTCAGATAACGATGCTGAAAGCAATACCGTTGATAGTTATTGCTACATTTTTGACAAATTCAGCTGCTGTTGCCGAAATAAAATGTGGAGCTTTGCGTTACAAAATTGGGAATTTAAAAACCTGTGAACCAAGTAAGTATTTTCACAAAAATTTACCAAACTATGTGTTTTACTTATGATAGTGTGTGCAGAAGTAGGTCAAAATTAGTTCTCCGAAATAAAATTAGCTTTCTACATAATTATCAAAACCGAAGCTTCGAATCCAAGGTGGACTAAAATTCATTATCTGAAATTACTCCTACTTTCTAACGTATAATTTTTTATATGCATATATATATCGTTACAGCACAAGATGTTAATATTTTTTGTTGAATTGAAACATTATTCTTTGTTTATTTAGAACCTGGATCAATAAAAGAATTACAGGCATGTTACGATCCATGTGAAAAGACTCTGATTGATCCAAAGAATTGCACAGATTATCCACAATGTTGCATTTATAATTGCAAATGCGTGATGAAAGGAGGTTAGTTGATTACATAAAATAAATTGAAAATACTCTACTCTGTTTAGTCAGGTATTTTTATATGAATTTTGTTTCAATAAAATGGAAGCAAACTAACGTTAGCAACAATTATCCAATCAGTTCATTAAGTATGTTATGGCACTTTTCATATTTTAAACAACATATCTATCGAAGTATAATTGAAAAAGAATATATACATGCAAATAAAGCAATGATTTGTAGGCATGAAAGTTTGGTGCAATTGAAGTTAATTCGCGGTAATGAGCTTACAGTTTACATTTTATATTTAGCTGGATTCGTCAAAATACCAGATCAACTCAGAATGCCAGACGCAATATTGAAATCTGCATCGTTGGGTAAAAGCAAAATACCAAGAATAAAAGGATGCAAACGATCAAAACCATCGGCAACACCAGCAAAGCCCGAACTGGCATCAAAGGCACCAACACCCAAATCTGTATCGACTAGGAAAACAACTGCAATCCCTCCAAGTAGACCAAAAGCATCTGCAAAACCGAAGCCAATAAAAAACAAAAAACCGAAGCCAATGAAAACTAAAAAACCCAAACGAATACCAGTAAAGCCAATAAAAAGGAAACCTGGACCCAAGAAACCTTCACCAACAAAACCAAAGCGTAAACCAGAACCCACTAGGCCAACGACCACATCCAGAAAACCAACAACAAAGCCATGTGCCACAAAGAAGCCAAAAAATCCTTTTGCATCTTTGTTTGCAAATAGATTTAGTTTCTTTTTAGGCCAAATCGGTTTTGAAGCAGACTTAGTACCATGTTAATTTTAACAAACACGTGCTTTATATCATGCGTCGACTTCACGCTGATCCAAGCTGTATTTGAAATATATATATGTGGATCATATTTTGTAATACGACGGCCTGCATGTAGGTCGCAAACAACTTTTAATTTAATTCTTATTCTCTCTATTGTTTCTTGCTGAAATGGTTGTACATATTTTTGAAAGTGAATGAGTATGAGTAATTTATTCGAATCGGTTCAGGCAAAAATTTCAAATCACCGCCATCTTGTTTTTTTGCTTCACCAAAAGTTAAGGTGAATACGTAATTTTTTTTTGTTAAAGCAATATTTCTAAATGCAAACTGAAATGTGACTCTTTTCTTCCTAGTTATTTGATAATGAAATATGTTTCATATTGTGTGTGAACGCTTATCGAACTGTCTGAGGATTCTATGTTTTCAGTAATTTATGAGTTTACATCACTCATTATCATAAAAAGTCACATACATTTATCAATCTTCTAAGTATTCCAGAATCGATTCGATTAAAAAAAAATATTCGATTCAATTCTGAATTTATCCGGTAGTCTAAAATTCCCAACCCTCGCAGGGATTACGTTTCGATGAGTATTGTATCACACATATATTATTTAATAAAGCATTCCACGGAATACTGATTTATTTATCATAGAAATCGAAGTCACCGCAAAACATAATTTTGATTTTTTTGTCGATAAATGTATATACATAAATAAATTTTATTAAGTGAAAGAATTTTAAACTACAATTGACAGTAATGTTTTGAAAATATAATCGAATATAACAATCTTGTTACAGAACTAGCTTGTTTAAGTATTCATTAGGTAAGTCAAGGCTACATCCTATGCGTAAATTTATATTCGTCATTTTTGAAGCGAGTTGAGTAGCATTCGTTTGTTTTTTTAGCAAATTTGACTCGAAATAATCAAACTAAGTTCTAAGTGCAGAGTATGTTTTGTATTTCCTCACTGCATATACGTCATCTTCGCTATAGCTCCGCCTTTACAATTTGACCGATGTTTAAAAAATTGGAGTCGACTTCAAATGTTTAATTATTGGTCGAAAATATAAAATTCGTATTATTCTTCCACCCACAAGTTTATATTAGTCTATATATTAGTTTATATTACACAAGTTTATTTAAAATTTATTTTAATTGTAAATATTAAGTCTAAGTCTAAATGTTTGTTTCATTCAAGTAAAAAACTTTGCTAATTAGGCGTCTTTCTTGTCGATAATTTTAGAAATTTATGAAATCGACATTGAGGTTTCAGAAGATTGATCAAACCTAATTTTTTTCTATTTTCTGTTATTCCCATTTTTATTCGTACTAGTCTGTAAAACTGACGTTGTTAGCGTGATATTATTCGCCAAATACCCAAAGTCTAATCAATTGCAGGAAACGTGGCCGAAGTTAAATATACAGAACTTCTGTGTTACACTACAGATCTACAAAGCATTTGTCTTTTTATGAAAGCAAAATGATTAGATGAAGATTTTTCCGTACTCCCGAAGTATGTGTACCAAGTTAGGGTTAGGCCATAATTTTATTCTGATTTTTCTTATTTTAGTTAAATTATAAGTTTGGGGACTGTCTGTGTTTGGGGACTGTCTGTGCCAAGAGAATATTCCCCTGTCCATAGGTTCCAGTCCCTCTACACCAGGGGTCGGCAGCCTATGGCCCAAGGGCCAGATCCGGCCCGCGACAAATTATGGCGAAAAACGCCGATTTTGACGATGAATTAATTTTATATTCTACGCTCGAGGAATTGATTATATTCTGTACGTAACAGAATTTATTGTAAGACATTCGTAGATTAAATTATATCATAATCGAGCAATTCAGTGGAAATCTACTCGTTTGACGAGCCTACAATTTAATTATAATTAGACAAATGGCAACACGCAGAAAAGTTGGGGCTGAGTGCAGAGAGTTTCATGGCGCAGAAAATATTTGAATAGAGCTTCTTGACATGCAATGCAATGAGGAAATAAAATCCATATTCTATTCGAGAGATTTATCACTACTTGGTTTTCATAAAAAGTATCTTCTTGAAGGAAATCACTATCCAAATTTGACATCCCATCATGCGAGAAAATTCACATCGATGTGTGGAAGTACATATGCGTGTAAACAATTATTTTTGAACATCACAAAGAACAATATGAGAACTCGGATTAGTGATGGCCATTTGAAAAATATATTAATCTTGTCTTCATCCAGTGTGACGCCTAATTTCGAAATGCTATCAAGCGTGCTGCAACAACAAGTGTGACATTAATGTCATTTGTAATTTCTTTTTCTTTTAGTAAGACGACTGAGTTGAGTTCACGAATTGTCGCAGTTCTCGTGCGATGTTTAAAATCTAAAATGACAACTTCTGATCCATGTGAAAAAATAGCGATTCATCGGCCATCTGTTCGCTTTTACCTTTATAAAAGCATGTGCGGCCCGCCAAGACATGTAATCTTTAATTTTGGCCCACGGGCGGAAAAAGGTTGCCGACCTCTTCTCCGCATAATTTGATGTAAAAAAGACAAACAAAATTAGTTACCTCCGTACTGTTGTTATACATACTTCTGGAGCGCCGAATTTTCAATACAACAGTAGTGCAATAATGTACGCGCATATACTATTATAGATTATATTGACCAAACATTTTAAAGTAAAAAGGTATCACATTTAAAAACATTACAAAATATTTCATTATTTTGTCAATGTATCTGGGGTATTTTTACCCCCACATAATAAAGCAAATACATTTCGAATCGGGCATAATTTCAAAAATGGTATTTTCTCCTCGGCGCCGCAAGATGGGGTGTGTATATAATAATAAGAAGCTGAGAATGTAATTATTGCCTCAGGAAAACTTTTTTGATATGATTAGAAATGATTTTAAAAGTAAATCACAGCAGCGAGAGAAATTATTGATTTCAACAAAAGTACATGCTTGGCCTATCACCAAGTAAAATTTTATTACACATTAAATTCTTCGTTTTTTTCTGATCTTCAGATTGAGTGCGAATTTGATGCAGTTTGTCCACTATTGACGCTGGACTTTTACTTTACTACATTGGATAGTTTAATTTTATTCTTAAAAATCGTTGAAGTTTGAGAACGCAATTAGAAATATTCACTGCTTCAGTATAAATGAATGAAAATTTTAATTTGCCTCAACTTTGAAGTACGTTTTAAGATCTTTTAAATTTGCCTTTTTAATTATTTGAAATCTGTGGTAAGGTAAAAGTAACGGGATTGATTTAAATACTAAAAAAATACTTATTCATTTGAATACAACAAAATCCATTATAACCGTGACTTTCAATTTTTCCTGCAATGTACAATCAGACAAATGTGTGTTTTTTATTTTATTTCAAAAAATAACAATTCAGGTAACCAGCACCACGCGTATATAGAGTATTCGCTGTAAGTGTAGGAATAACGAAGTCAAGTAAACTGACCAATATTATATTTCAGAATCATTTGAACAAGTAAATGAGCTGGTGTATGACATCACATGCATTTAGCATTCCTTGACTACCTCACCCTCGAAACCAAAGCCCCGAGTCAACATCAAAAGACGCTCGAAAAAACTTGCTTGGAACGCTGACCGTGATCCCTTTGTTGTGGTGCACATTTTCTTAGTGGTACGTGCTGGCGTTTTAGTTGGTCGCGTGGGCTTTTTTGGTTTTGGCGTAGGCTTTCTTGGTTTTGGTGTTGGTCTCTTTGGTTTTTTGTTTCCGGGTTTTTCTGAAATCGGCTTTTTAGGAGTTGGTTTCATCGGTTTTTTAGGAGCTGGTTTCTTTGGGGTTGGTTTCGCCGGTTTTTTACCGATTGGCTTTGCTGGCTTTTTAGGAGTTGGTTTTACTGGCTTTTTAGGCGTCGGCTTCATGGGTTTCTTTGGCTTTGGCTTTGTAGGCTTCTTAGGTGTTGGTTTCATTGGCTTTTTAGGAGTTGGCTTCATTTGTTTTTCAGGAGTTGGCTTCATTGGTTTTTTAGGAGTTGGTCTCACTGGCTTTTTTGGAGTTGGTCCCACTGGTTTTTTAGGAGTTGGTTTCATAGGCTTGGGTGTATTTTTTGGTTGTTCGGATGTAGGTGGAGGAATTGGGATGCATCCTTCCAATGTAGTTTTGGGCAAAGCTTTCTTTTTTGCAGGCAATTTTGGCTCTGGAAGTTGATACTTCTTTAGAATTTCTCCTTGATCAGTTCCAGCTAAAAAAAAATATTTGAGATATAAAATAGATAGTTGAATTTCATTCAAATTACGGAATAAACTGAATTTTACCAAAAATGTAATGCTGCAGTAATATTCATCTAATTTTTAAAAAGTGACATTGTCCACAAAGGTCTCAAACAAAATTGCTCGCCTATGCATAAACATTTTGACTTAGTGTTGTGATCGTGAAGTTGCTCTAAATGGTATAAATAAATAAAGTAATATCTTACCTCCTTTCACGATACATGTACAGTTGTATATACAGCAATGCGAATTTCGTTTGTGTGAACAATCTTCTGGCTTGACCAATTTCTTGGATTTTAAGTCATAGCACGGCGTCACTTTATTTTCAAATCCTTTCGCTTTATATAAAGAAAAAATGAATATTAAAGAAACTGAACAGTGTACACGTTGATCTCTGACTTATCAGTCCTGTTCTCGACCGTTTTGATTGCACAAACGTACAATTACACGATTTAATAATTACTTCTACTAGAAATTTTGGACGCTGCAGTAATACAATGGTATATATATATATTAAAATTGGAGTTAATATATTGAAACGATTAATGCATACGTTTTTTGGCATCTAAGGACAAATTGAAAAATAGTATTGAATGCAAATTTTGCAAATGTTTTCGTTGTCACGTGATGAAACTGAAACACTCGAATATCATATTTAAGAATACCGTGATGGATCTCAGTTCCATGTTATATAAATTTTCAGATACGTATAGATCACAAATTGAAATCGTTAACAGTATTTCATAAATAGTGACCAGGATGTATTTATCCTATTATTATAAACGCTTTTCAGTTTATTTAGATTCTAACATATAGAAAAAATTTAAAGGATTCTAATTTGTACATGAATATTGCGTTATTTTCACCCTCGTTAAGATTTAAAAATTTTAACTTGTACAAAACCATAAAAATTCATTAAAACTTTATTTACCTGGTTCGCAAACTCCTGTGCTTAATTTGTATCTTTGTTGAAATATTGTTAAAGTTGGATCAAGGGAAGCATCGACAAAGACAAATAGTCCTATGGCTATTAGTAATGTCCTCATTTTGGCGTAATAGCAGTATATAGAGAAAACTAGTTGGTATAAATAAACGGTTATTGGAATTGTAGTAAATCAAATAAACTGATTTCTCTTACATGCAAGCGTGCAACCGTAAGGTAAAAATGCAATTCGAACTATGTAGCAAAATTTTACTTTGGCTCTCGAACTTGTCTGAATACCTATGTTTTCTAGTTCAGCTTATCAACAACTTTTTTCTTCAACAAGTGAACGGCTACAGGCACAAAATATTGAATGCATTTTGTGGCTTCGGCTGACTATTTTATAGTCGAAGACGAGGAGGCGTACTGATGTAATCAACTCGCCTTTGGGCAGAACGCCTCGTAATGGACAAAAAATAGTTTTGTTTTACTTTTTGTAACCACAATGAGAAAATTATTATTCTGGGGATTTCAATAATTATTATAAGTTATCAAAAATGTATTGTAATCTATTTTTATTTTTTTAAAAACGTGAAAAGCATGCATATAAAAAAAATTAATAAAGTTAAAAAAGAAACTTATTAGGGTAAATGAAGATTAAATATATATGTATTTGCATTCAATTTTTGTTCCTTTACATTCTATATTTTACTATTTAATGGGCGTACGCATAGTGCAACTTTTATAAATCGTATAGCGTTGAAATTTGCTAATAATATTGCAATAACGGATCCTGTTACAAGCATTATATCTCGCTGAAATTACGCATTATTGTCGAGCATAATCTTAGATGATGAAACAAACGCCTTCAAAAGTTATAATCTATTTTTAAACTATGTCGTAATGCTTTGACATAGATCTGCCAAAACAAAATCTTTTACTAACACAAACACAAAAACTGAGTTTAAGGTAAAAGTATTCCATGTAGAAACGTGATCGCGATATGGTGATTTCAAAGTCATGCGATACCGTGAATCAGACTAAAATCTTTGAAATAGTTTGCGATCGAATGATCGATAATAAGTCATACACAATAACAAATGAATACTGAATATGCAGCATACGCAAACAAAAAAATCCACCGCTGCCAAGTTTGGCTCGGTGGCGCAAAAATTTGTATTCTATATCGGCATCGTAGAGAGGGGGGGAGAAGGGGTCTGAAATTTCTAATTGCCGAGTTAGACCGTAACCACTAGCGGGTCCGGTGGAAGGACGGGAAAAGAGGGTTTTCAGGAGTATTGAGGGTATCAGAAGCGTTTTGAACCACGAATATTGCTATGTTTGATACAGAAAATGCTTTTATTTTCTTATATTTCAAAAGGCAAAAGGGGGATGGGTTCGACCCGAAAAACCACGCGCCTGAGTACGCCCTTTTTTATGTTCCATTTCATTTTATTAATTTGATAATGTGATTGTACCCGGAGTCAATTTTACCATTTATTTGAACCATATAATTCAGATCTAACGCCTTCCCAATTTTTAGTCGTAAGTGTTGAAAGTTCCTCAAAAAACCTCATCCATATTATCTAAACAGCGAACAATAAATATTCACAAACAATAAATGTTACACTACTGCTCAAATTTCGGTATCTAATTTACAATTTCCTCCAAGTCCGATTTTTCGCTCGCTTAAAATTAGAGAAAATTGGAGTGAGACAATAACTACCGCATACTGCAGAAGTTATTGTAGGATCGTTTGTCGGTCAAGACGCAAGATAATTGGTATGTTCATTTCTAAATCTTGGCAGCGGCGAATATTCCATTTGTTACGTAATAATATGCTCTATCGGGTTTGCCCCGACTCAAAAACTGTATGGATACATTGTATTTTGTCGATATACAGCCAACAGGCGCTGCATGAAACTGGTTCGAAACAATTTTTTGGGTTAGGGTATATTCACTCAACCCCAGACGCGATCAACCCAGACGTGCGATCGACGTGTTGGCCACCCCTGCCGTAGATCATACGCCGTTAAAAATGAAAAAGGGCTATTTTAAGCCATGCACTCGCTGGAAATATTTTCTGGGAAGTGCTTCATCAAGTATACAAGGAAAATGCGTTTATATAAGAATACGGATGACATTGTCAACATTGTGGTTTCTTGTTATGTATTTCTAGTAATCACTAAAAGCAGAGAAAATATATTCTTTGAATATCACCACAATATACAGTGCATTAAAGCGGTTATGTTTTGTGTTTTTGCGTTACTAAGAAAACGATGGACAGAATTTTTTTTTATCAAGATATAAAACATTCAACATAAAACATAAACACCTTCAATAAATGTGTTTTTGCTTTTACGATAGGGATAAGTTTACAAAATTTCAGACAGTGACTCTGTCATATCTTGCTGATTACTTTGCATAATTTCTTACTACTAAACTAATATAATATGGGCTTCATGATTGAGAAATTACCAAAGTACTTAACTTTTTAGTTTTTTACAGGAAATTGTCTTTTGGAAATTAACGCATCGGTGATAATTAATTTTAACTTCCTCTTCAGTTCAAAGTGGTGTAATTTAGTCAGACTCAAGTCTACTTTGAATGGTTTCGATAGCATAATAGCTGACGGTATTAATTTTATTTGAAACTTTTAACTTATTTGTTTGTTTAGCTGTTTGCTTAATTTATTTGTTTAGCTTAGCTGTTTGTGGTCTGAATGATTTTTCACTTTGAAACCGATCAAACGCCACATTGAAAGAAAATCTAACACTATACATTAGTGTCAAATTTTTATAAATTGCATGGGTTTATTTCAAAAGTTACTTTTGAGCAAAAATAAAGATAAAGTGGCCATATGACTTTTTATATTAACGATCAAAAAATTTTTTTTTCTGTTTGTACTTTTGAATATGTATTTTTTTTTATTATTTCTCTAACGAATTTTACTTACTGAGTATCATATTTTCACTCACTGCAGTATATGTTTTTTTTCAATACTCCAGAAATACTTTAACGACAGGAAGGACAAGGACAACAAATACCGCATGGTTGCAAACTGCACGCCACCAATTTTGATAAGAACTATCAAATTTCAAAACGAGCATTTTAATACTAAGCTAGCACAATAAATTCTCGCTTAAGAATCACTTTACGTCAAAACGGGCTAAACGACAATTTAATACTCTCGTTTAAGTGCAATTATGTTGAGAACAGTTTTCTGAAATAAAAGTAATATTCCGTATGGTTAAGTATGAATTATCAGACTTACTTATATTTACTGGCTTGGTATGTGTAAGGATATGATGTTTTTCCTCATTTATTTCTTGTGTTTTTTCGAAATTGAGATGATTGAGTAATTATCACTTGCCGATATCTCTAGCAATTTTTTTGAAAATATTTTTATGTTTATACTTAATGATGTTTTTTTAGAGATCTCACACATAAAGCGTCTATATATCATTTTAATATATAATATATATTTTTGTCCTAATGAAATATCAAATAATCTATATTACTTCGAATCAATAATTCTAATTTCTTTTTAAAAATTTTGCAGTTTATGTTATTTTTTGACATGATGAAGATCGCCGGTTAGGTTTAAATATATCACCCTCCCTCCCCCCCCCACTTAAATGTTCCTTTCGCGTATAAACTATTACAAAAATACGGAAAACAAAATGGAGACAAGAAGACTAGATTGAAAATCCACATATGAATTTATATTAAAAATCATCCCTGAATTCTAAAATAATTTTTCAAAGAATGGTTGTCTAGATTTTACATATTATATAATAAGCAGGATTGCTGTGAGTCTCTTAGTGAAACAAATTGCTTTACATCCAATATCTTATTATTACTGAAGTCAAGTTGATAATAAAGATGCAACTTGTGAGTTCCTTGGTTCTATAATAGCGACAAACTGGGATAACACCAAACAAAATTTTGACTTAGTTTGTCTATACTTCACGCTTGGATTCACATTACAAAGATTTATTACAAAAAATAGTGATCATACATCTTCCTTCTTTTTGATTTTCAGACATTTACACACGAAAATTGTCAAAATAATAGAGGATAAAAAATAAAACTCTATATTTTTAGAATGAAAGAATAATTATTATAGCAAACATTTTTGATTTTGATTTTGTTGTAAATTAACAAACGTTGTTTTATTCAGAATGTTGATGCAGTACTAGTTAAAACACTGTTTTATGTATACTTGAAATTAACAATCATCATTTTCAACTACTTCTGAGTTGAATCCAAAACCGCGCATCATAAAGGAAAGTCGGGAGAAAAAATCAAGTGAAAATGCAGGCTTTTTGGTTGCTTTGGTTGATTTGGCACACGGTTTCTTTGTTGTTTTTGGAGAGGGTGTTGGTTTCTTTACTGGGGGTTTCCGTTTTAATGGTTTTTTTTGTGTTGGTTTTCTTGCGATCGGTTTTTTGGTATTTAAAGGTTTTCTTGGGACAGGCTTTTTGACTGTCTTTTTTGGTATCGGTCTTATTGCCATGGGCTTCTTCACAACTGGTTTTCTAGATGTAGGTTTTTTGGTCCATGGCTTCTTTGTTGCCGGTCTTTTTGCAGTCGGTTTTTTTATTGTGGGTTTTCTTATTGCTGGTCTTCTCGAGACAGGTTTTTTGATTGTTGGTTTTCTGGCCGGCTTCTTTGACACGGGCTTCTTTGGTTTTAGAACGGGCTTTCTTGGAATTGGTTTCTTCGTTGGCACAATTGGCCTTCGTACACTTGGTTTTGGTTTGACAATAACTGGTCTTTCTGATGGCTTTACTGGTGGTTTTACTGTTGTAGAATCGTCAACCGGTGGGTCCGGTACACAACCTTCTAGTAAACGTGGTGGTATGTGCTTTTTCTTTATTGGAGAAGCAATCTTCAATTTGAAATTTTCTGGAATAATGCCAGCTGATGTTCCCGCTGAAAATAAATGTTTGAATGAGATGATAAGTCGATTGGTTTACCAAATCAATACAAAAGCAACTTGGCCATCGAGAATACTGCGTCAGATGCTCTTAAAGCCGTGATATTTGTGATATTGGCAATTTTAATATCAGCATAGTAATTATTGAGAAAAAAAAATCAGAAAAATGAAATTACAAACGATGCCCACCTCCTTTCATAATACAAGTGCAATTGTATACACAGCAGTGTGAATATGCTTTGTGTCCACATTTCGTAGGGTCAACTATTTTCATTCTTCTGAAATCGTAACATGGAATAACTTTGTCTTCATATCCACTCACTGAAAATAAAAACAAATGAATGTTTGATAAATGAGAGAACAAACTTTCAACACACTTTACCACATTACCAAATTAAATAGGGTACGCAAATTCTATACAGTTCACATCAAAATATTATCTAGATTGGGTATTCAAAGTTTGAGAAATGTGCCGATTCAAAAAAAACAAACATACCTGGAGCACATTGTGTTTTACTGATCTTGTATCGCAGTTGAAACGGAGTCAAACTAACTGACACATCAGCTAATACACAAGTAATAGCAAAAAATAGAAGCCCTTTCATGCTATTTTCAGAATTTAATGTACTAAAATGAAATAAAATATTATAGAAGTATATACCAAAATATTAGAAAATAGGAAGTACATTGAAAAAAGTTTTATTTAACAAAAACGTTACATTAATTTCAGTATTGAATCGGAAATAAAATCAGGTTTTTTTTTCTGTTGCGTTTTTCTCAGTATACCAAAAATTTAGGTATAAACTTTTTTACAGATCTGCAAAACATCTATTGTGAGGATCAAGACCCTCACAAAACTGTTGCTGAAGGTCCAACAGTAGTGCCTTTTATAGAAACAATACCATTATTTGACATTTGTCCACCTGCCCGTAGGCAAATTTATATGCGATTTTTTTTTGCAAAATTTGAATGCAGAGCCTCTTCGACTAGCGATTAATACAGTGTAAGTGCGTCATTTTGACGTCTTTTTAACCACAAGGTTTTTAAAACAAGGTGAAATTAACTTTGTTTTTATTAACGTAAATTAACGAGTTAAATATTTGTCTTGAAACTTTTATTGACAATTTCGTCAGTTTGAACATAATTTTAGCTATACAATGTTAATGAAATCACGATGTTAATTTAGAAGCACTCGATTGTGACAGCTATGTTAATTCGAAAAAGTTGGGAAAAATGTAATAAACTACAAAAAGAAATATCTACAAAGACAATACTATGAAACAGAAAAAAAAATTTTGAATCTAAAATTTAACAGATAATAGAATCATTTCAAATATTCTTATTTTCACAATTATAACATGTTTACTTTTACGTCGACTTTAAAAGTTCCACGATATACATGAGTCACGGATGCACTGCACCCTCACGTCGGAATTGTCATTGCTTCGTGATTAAAAAATAAATACAAGATTATTTTGACAAAGTTGTAATCTCAATTACAACAAAATTGTTATCTTTTAACCTACGTAAATACACTTTTAAACTTTCACATTGTTATAATCATCTATAATATTAAGTTACGCCTTACTTAAACAAAAGTTGTAACTTTATGATTTTTAAATTTCTCGACATTTATACGGATTATTTAATATATTCTCGTCAAATGTCATCTATTCATAATAGAAAAATTGTCAGTTTCGAAGAATCAGAAGCTGTATATTTTGTCATAAATGAAGTGACAAAAACGATTTCAGTGGAATTAAAATTGTTTAATATTTTTTGAACATTTTAAGACATTATGCCAAAAAATTAAAAATCTTTTTATGGTGTGGTTTTAATTAACATACGCTTATGGATTTTATTTATCTGTATTTTATTTTATCTATCTATAAAATATCTTAAATATAACGTACACAAAAGTATCCACATATAGCCATTGAAATTAATATTGGCATTTCAGTTCATCTCTATTCAGTACAATTGTTCCTATTCGATTTTTGAATTTATTTTAATGTTCCACTTTTTAATAAAACACTGTTCATTATTCCAAATTTAATGTGATATTACATGTTTATATTGACATTTTCCATCCGTTCACAGCAATTAAAATTACACTAAATTATAATACGATTCAATGTTTCTCCACAATGATCCTTCGTGAATACATCATTACAAGTTTAAAAATATAACCAAATTACTGTTGTGTATAAGAAGAGCAGTAGTTAATTGCAAGCAAGCTCAATGAGGATTGATTCATTTACGTCAATCTATGTGGACGAAAACCTACAGGAAATAAAAATTCTTGAGAAAGTTCACCATTTACGTATTAACTTGCGGACTTGGATGATGAATGATGATAATGAATTTCATATACATATTTACTTCGCGAAATATTCCAATAAAATTCATAAAGTAGTGTTTCAAAAAGCAATATGTTTTTTTATGCTTTTGATATTGTGAACAAGCATTTAAGGAAAAAATATTATCAATTAAATATTTTGCAATGTTGAATAAATAAATATGTGATATAAAATCGATAGTAGTACTTTAAGTAGTCGAATAACCCGTCAACTGAGCCAATTCTTAGCTATTTTATAGTCGATACATTTTTAGTCATCCTGATAGTTGAGCACCCATAATCTCGACCAAAATCATGTCCAATCTTCTATTGGTAAAATCTGATATCCGAATTACACCTGAGAAATATATTAAAAAAATGAATATACGAATAAATATGTTTTTTATTCATTACTTGTTCATATATTAATTGTAATCTATATTCTATAACAGTTTAAATTGTACATTTGAATAGAACATGATTTTATCATTTATTCTGTGTATTTATATATTTATACGATATTTTTCGTTTTCATGAATTCTACGTATTTCAATTTTATATTGGGGTTACATGATAACCAATTTAGCTAAATTTCCTGCAGGCACATTGTACTTCAATCCCGTTTTGTGCAGCAATAATTCAATAAAAAGTTGTTCAAATAAATATTATTTTGTAAATAATTTGCTGAGAAGAATATAATTTATATAAACATGTTTAAATGCTTCGTTTTTCATTATTTTAAGTTATAATATTTTTTTAAGTAAAAATTGAACTATAAAGCCAGCTACAATTTATACCATGGTTATCCATTTTTTGTGGCTAGTCGTGGCAATAATTCAGATGTTAGTAAAAATTGATTTTGTTGTATAGTACAGTAGTCGCATTCCATAATATGTGCCTGGTGAAATAATACTAAAAATGATTACTTTTATAATTTTTTTTTCAATTTTTGAATTATAAATTTTGAATACCAAGTAGGAAATAATCAATGATAACATGCATATGTTTACACTTTAAATGAACAACATATATAATTTTAATAATAATAAATGTGAGTGAATTTGGAAAAAGTTAGAATATCAAACCAGACGTATTTGAATTGAATATATGTTAAATTCACAATCTTTTCACTTTTAAAAAAAAATAAAAAAATGTAGTGAAATTCAATGAAAGCGGAATCTAACTTCAAAATATGCTCTGAAAAGATTATTGCTTAATTAAATGAGAGTTAAGGTTTTAATCTTACCCCGTCCTAATCACCATTATAATTATATTTTATATGGAGATATTTCTGATGACGCCATTAACTCATTAACGTAAAATATCATTTTAATCCCAATTAAATAAAGGACGATGAATACTAACAAATAAAGTCTTGTTTATGTAATTCGAAAATTTTATGTCTCATTTCATCTTTATGTTTCTATATTAAATTTATAAGAAAATTGAATTAACCTTGTCGTAGACGAGTTATTACGTAAAAAACTCAATCTATCGACCTAATCTAGTTCTATTTTTACCTTGCTATGACGTTTAATCGTGGCAACAGCGATTAGGTCAGTGTGTCGATTCTTTGAGAGCATTAAGTAATGATATTTCTTTGAGTGTAGTTTGTTAGGGATTACGAAAAAATACGTCACCATGACGCAAATGATGTGAATGAAATTACGAATTGTGCCTAAAACCTATATTGACATGCGAACTTACGTTGGATTGTGGGCAATAGTAGTCCAAGGTGAAAATACGCGAAAAAAGCTAAGAGGTCACATAACAAAAAATAATCAAACAAAAACCGCCAATACCAAGTGGTAATAAGCCATCTGTAACAAAGTCGTCTGCCGAGAATAAATTTTCAAAACAACTTAGCAAAGGAAAATTTACGGATAAAAAAACATATACTTCTCACATGAAGCCAAGAAAGAAGCCTTGCGTTGAGAAAAAAACAAAACTTTTATTTTCTTTAGGGTTCTTTCCTCGACTTTCTTTTATGATGGATTAATTTGGTTTCAACTCAAACGTTGTGAAAAATGATTCTTGTGTTTGATTAGCACGCAGCAGAATTTTTGAAAAAAAAAATGAATAATATTGAATTATTACATTTAGACATCGTCTTTTTCCTCCTATTTATTCTATTTCTTTTATTTGTTATTTTATTTCAATGTTTTCGATATTGTATTCTGAATTGATCAAAGTTGTTGTTAAACATACCTGATTATAGAACGTGATCTGATTTGTAGCAATTTATATTTCATAACAAATATGAATACAGAGTATCCAGTGTTATTTTATTCATCTTGGGTATTTCTTTTCGTCATTGATTTCAAGCGAAACAGTAATGCTTATTATGCACATGTCATGCTTTATAGGTTATATAGAATAAAGCGTGTGACAATTTTTCAAACAAGAGAGCGATGTACAAATAGATGTACATGATTGCCAAAACGAAGTAGTACTGGTATGTGATGTCTGTCACAGCAGACTAACGTTTTCATACCGCAGCTGGCCGCCATTTATCAACTTACGCGAAACGGAGCCGCCACAAGAAGCGCAATTTTTAATTTTGGTGACGTCATCACACACAAAAAAAAAACATTCCGCAAAGATCATCGAAATCTCCGAAATAAATATAAATAATAGCTTCTAGCAAAAATACAATCTTTAACCACTGAAAGTTTCAAAGCAATTGGTCCAGTAATTATTAAAGAAAAACGCGATTCATAAGTATAACAACATAAAAATAACAAAACGATCAAAAGTTCCACTTTGTGTCCAAAACTGATTTTTTTGTAATAGATATGGTGCCGGGTTAAAATATTAACTTATTTATTAATGAGACTCGATATTTTGAACATAAGCTTGAGTTTGAAGCATTATTCAAAATGAAGTTGAAATATTTTTGTACACGAAAAAATTCAGAGATATAATGTTAGATTAATTGATTGATCCTGGTATTTTCAGAAATTATCAATATCGTCAAAGTATTGAGTAAGGTGCTAAACGTAAAAATCTGTTACAATGACTACTACAAATAATCGCTACGTTTATGCTTTTGAATAGACAATAAAATTTTAAAGAAATGTCTGGGCTTCGTGAGTTGCTGGTATTTTGTAAAAATAATTTTTGACTGATGATTCGGTAATAAACAATTTGTTGAAAAGCCTTCAAAGTATTTTTGTTTGATTTCTCTTTGAAGTTATATTTTAACAGGTTTCTTTAATATTTTTTGATTACGATTACTTTATTTTTTTAATAAAATCATTTCTTGTTGCTTTATTGTTTTCATTTTTTTCCTGCAATTCTTCTTTTGACAATGAGACCAATGTACATATTCTGGCATCCGTAGCTGCATCAAAGAATTATTTTTTGATGAAACAATTTTTGGTAATTTGTGTTACTCTGCAATGATCAATCCGTTTGGATTTCCAATTGCAATAACTAAAAATAAGAATAAATACGTGTCATTTTTGGCTTCCAATACCACCAGAATTTATGCTTGGTTCTGCTGTAACTTTCTGTCAAAAAGGGTTTCAAAAAATATCGTGTAAGGTAAATGTAACCACTTTGATGAAGAAGTAACAGTACAACAATGGAGGTAATCTTTCTTTTTACAATTTTGTTTTACCTGTCATAAGTTTTAAGTCGTTTTCATAGAATATTCGACTTTTCACAAAGAACCAATATTGAAATATGCTTAACATCTTCCATGTGAATTTGAAGCAAATTTTATATTTGAATATTACAAATTATTTTTGACAATTCGTCATTGCACTCAACAACGTCATACTGACGTAATTCTATTCGATTAAAATAAATCTTGAAACTATGATAGCTCTAGTTTGTTTTTTCTGCCTAGAGCAGTACGTTATATCTCGTTTAAAAATAGAACAGGAAAAGGTTTGACATGAAAATAGAATACCATTGTATTACATAATTTCTTATTTCATAGTTTTTTTTTTCCAAACAATAAACATATGCAAATTAATTGTAAGAAATGTGATATCATAGTTATGAATGTGATTATCTCAAATCGAGAATATTTTTAATTCTTTGCCTCTTGATTGAATTTGATATTGAAAAATGTATCATTTGTAACTATTCATGTTAGTGCAAAAAACGTTTATTTTGATGTTCAAAGAAAAATACGGTGATTGATAAATAAATATGTATATATGTTTTAACTTTATAAATTTCATTTAATACTTTGCAAAGAGTTTTATATCAGCTTATTTTTCCTATCTTAATTTCCTTTTCAGTATTTTGCTTCTAAATTGTTTTTATAACTACTGGACCAGATGCTATGACATTTTCAGTGGTTAAATATATTGTTGTGCTATTACTTTTATTTGCTCCCAACTTTTCTATTAATCATATGACATTTGATATTTTACCCAAAATTTTCGCTGTTCAATTTTTATACATGGGAATACGGTTTTTATTCCGTCAAGTATGACGGCTATCTTTAATGTTGATTTTGTGAACTCGTGATACGCGAAAGTCGGAAGTTTTTCGATACCAGTTAAGGCCTGTAGACTAGGTATGGTAAGTTACTTCGTGTCCAATTATTTGACCATTGCTCTTTGGTTTCGCAATAGCAATTATTGCATATATGTGCCAGAGATTATTTAGCCAAAGACATACAAGTAAAAAATGTATTTATATAATTGACGTTTGCATAATATATATACTTTTAAGTTGAGCACTTCATGTTCCCTTCATTTTATTTTTTATTCTGTTCATCACTGCTGGGTATTTGAAATATAACCATTTAGTTTATTTCTATAATGAAAATAATCTAGAAAATAATCTCACTGTTTCAATTGCAATTCAACGACGTCATAGTGACGTTTATTAATGTGTAAAACAAATACAAATAATGTAATATTTTACTCTTCGACTTGAATTCATCTTAATTGTGGTAATCTTATCATAAATGCGTCATAATGTTTTTAAATTAGAAAACAGCACTTTATAAATAAATTACATGTGGCGTTTTCAAAAATATCAAACGTATGACGTCACAACACTTTGTACCTATGTGTATAAAATGAATAGAAGTTTTGAAAGTAGACAACAATCGTGACGAAAATCTTTCTAATATAAATGTCCTCAAAAATGTCTAGACTTTTACGATAAGTGTCTTTGACCTTTGAAAGCAAAATTTCGTTAAAACTACTTAAGACCGAAACGTTTCAGCTTTTATTTTCTTCGAAATACATTCTTTAATACGTCAATTTCTAATCATAAAATTAAAACAATATTTTTAATATATTTATCAGCCCATGTCTAATTTATAGAATTTTGTTTTCTGTTGAATGTTGTATTCAAATTAGGAATTGTAATTATGACCTATACAAGATTTTTGAAACGATTATCAAGCATATTTTTTGACCAAGGATAATATTAAATAGTGATAAATTTGAGACATCATTGAAATCCAACTTCAGAGAAAAGATTTTTAATTCTTCTGAAACATTTTTCTATTAACTGTAAAGACCGTAACTTGTCTCTGAACAAAACTGTTTTCTGACTGATCAATGATGTATATAAAAAAAAACATGGTTTGTCTTTAGATAAAATTGTATTTATCCAAACATAAAATGCATAGATAAAAGTTCACCTTGAAAAAAAAACATTAAATATAAAAACTTTTTCATTGGGCTCAATCAACAATCATCATTTGGCTCTACTTCGTAGTTAAATCCAATTCCGTTTAGAATATTTGCCATGCGCGAGAAAAAGTTAAACGAAAAACTTTGCTGGTTCCTTCTCGTTGTTGTACAAGGATGATTGGTTTTCTTTGTAGGCTTAACTTTACGTATTTTGGTGGCTGCAGTTGGTGTAGTTTTTTGAAAATCTTCCTTTGTTCCTCTACCATGACTGGGTGTTTGTGACGACAACTTCAGTGGTTTGTTATATTGATTTGGCTTGCGATTGCTTGGTCTTTTTGGATGTGCTTGGCGCTTTAGACCCTTCCGAGCCATTGGCTGTTTGATTTTAGACTTTATCGTGGATGCTTTAGTTGCACTTATTTTGACCCTTGATGGATCTTTCTGGTTTTTCGGTTTTTTTCCTAAACTGGTTTTAGATGCAATTTGAGAAAACGTTTTGCGCGGGGTTGGGCGTTTTTTTAGTGGTGTTGATTTGTTTTTCATTTTCGTAGAAACGGAAATTGTTGTCAAACGCCTGCTTTCTTTTGTTGACAAAGTTGAAGGTTGTACAGAGGCTACCTCGAATGAAAAGTATGTTGGCGTTGTTGTTGTCGTTGACGCCCTTGTACTTTCGTTCGCTGGCGTTGTACTTTGTTTGTTTTTTGGTAATGTTGTAGCAAAGGCAGAGGAATTACTTTTGTTGTCTGACAATTCTACATTAGTCACACAACCTTTGATTAAATTGAACTGAGAGATCAATTTGTTATTACGTAGTCGATAAGCTTCTGGAATGTCCACTGTTCCAGCTGAAAAAATTAAAGAGTAAGCTAATTAAAATGTATAATTTTAAAAAATTAAAAAAAAAAATTAAAAATAAACTAATATTTAACTAATGTCTGTATTTTTATCCAATACCAACAATTCTAGAACAATAAGGTCTTTAATTTAGGTACCTGATAGTTTATTTTATGCATTTAAGAAGATCTCTTTTTTGTTTTCTTGATTATATTATTATAAGAAAATGCTACTAATCATATACTTGGTAAAATGTGGTTTATTTACAGTAAGTATAAACATATTATTGTAATCCCCAATGTACAAGTAAACATGCGTTTACCATATCACGTTCACCAAACTAATATTTGCCAACAAAATATATTTTAGAATACTTCTCAATAAGCTTAAAGGTCAAAAACAGTTAATATAGACGTTTTCTAATTTTCTTTGATTATGATATCCTGATGTGCAACCACGCAAAAAACGTAATCATAATTTTTATTACTTTTTTACTTCAAAAATAAGATAATAAAACTAATATGATATTTACTAAACCGGGTCTAATTTGAATAATCGTGTCATTTATATTAGTATGTTAATTTTTACTATACACATTATTAAATTGCTAACTGACAAACATTCAAACTATATATAAATTGAAGCATTTGCAAAATATATTAGCTTCGTCTCAAAATTGTCATAATTTTGGTATTTTTCATTTAGTTGGCTCAAACTTGAATATATGGGTTTTCCAATAGTGTTTTAATATAATCTGATAATATAATCATACCTCCTCTGATGATGCATCGGCAATTATACATGCAGCAATGCTTATTTTTCTTCAAACTGCAATCACTCGGGTCGACCAGTTTTTTTGTTTGAAAATCGTAACATGGCAAAATATGATTTTCAAATCCTTGCACTGAAAAAAAATGTAACATTAACGATATTTTAGTTATTTATTTTCGTGATGAAAATTTTTTTTAAAACTACACAATGTATAAATGTTAGAACATTTTTTTAAATGAAGTCATTTTGTTTTAATCTTTTTAATTTACACAATAATCGTTGTGGTTGAGTTTTAAAACTATAATCACAATTAAAGTAAAAAAAATCGAATTGAAATTGAATTAAACTTTGTAAATATTCCAATTCTCACCTGGTGAACAATGGGCTTTACTTATTTTGTATCTCAGCTGAAAAGGCTTCAATCCACGACATACTCTGATGCAAACGCATAAAACAAAAATCGAGCACAGCTTCTCTTCTCTTCGCATTTTGAGCTTTTCATCCTTAGAATGAAAAAAAAATATTTTGAAATTTGGTGTTTTCAATTTCCTCAAACTTCTCATTTATTATATCAGATCCATACTTTGCATAAGTGTGAATTATTTCATTTCAATATAAAGTTACTTATACAAAAAAACTCACCGTTCCAGTGTTATTTAAATAAAGTAACTGGTGTATACGGCAATCAGTAGTGACATAAGCAAATCTTCTGCTACCGTACAGATTTTTTGATTGACATACAGTATTTTGGTCATATTTGTATCAGTGCAAGCTTGCCCAAAGGCCAGTCATTAATTTGTGTTGATCGCAAAGCTATCCTAATTAGTTCATTGGTAGGAAATCAATTATATGTTGTTTGACCTCAACAATGACCTTGTCATGTCAAACAATTAGTGCAATGTTTGAAGTACAAAATATGGTATTATGTGTCAGTTAGTTCATAGCAATTATTTTAATTAATGATATCAGTTAGCTAAATGTTACACACTTTATCACAAAATTTTAAATGTGACTCAAATTTTACTGAAATTCAAACCAAATTTATATATAGATAAAACCTAGAAATTATTTTTGTACCCATTCGTATCGTTGTTAATTTATAGAGTCCATCTTTTTGAAATGTGCGCGAAACTTTTATAATTACTGCATTTATATCACAGGACATACGTGGTGCTGTGAAAAACATATTTGGTTTACTCATTGCATTATTAGAGTCTGATTTGTGTCTTGTAGCTTAATAATTTAAATATTAGATTGTAATATTAATGAATATAAATATCTACATAATTTGGGCATTACATTGGTATGAAATCAACAATTGGAAAACATTGCCAAAAATTGAAAAAAAGTCTACGTTTCTTAATTTCCTAAATTTTACATAAAAAACGGCACATAGGAAAATACTTGTGAGAAACGTTTAAAACATCATTAAGTACTTGTGTTGTAAGTATATGTGAAAATTTTATTTCCGGTACTTAACACCTTTCGTTAATTTATTGGAACTGCATACTTTTATAATGATAAATATTGAAACAGAAATCTTGATCAATTCAAGAATGTTCAATTTACTTGGCATTAATTTCACATTAAACTTTAACCAAGTTGTGAAAAAATAAAACTTTACCTTAGAAAAGTGATAGAGTAATAAAGCTAGTATGCGAAACTTCGAGACTTGAACTCGAAAATACAAAAACGCAACTATACTTGAGAATGCAAGCACGCTTGATGTGGGAAAAATCATCCGACCATAATGATTGTCATAATTGCCTACTAGCTAAGCAGATGATCTTATAGTAAAGAAGTTTTTCTGAGAAAACTAATTCTCCGATTTGAAGAAAGCCTATTAGATATAGCTGTCTTTGCCTAAGTAGCCTTCCAATAGATTTTGTTCTCAAATTATTGTGAATATTTATCCTATAAATGAAGTCTAATATTCAAATAAAATATTTTTCATCTGTCAATTTATTTGTTTTTATACACCATTAAAGTAACGTGTCAGTAACGCCGAAATACCGAAAACGTATGTAATTTTATATTTTTCTTTTAAAAAGATTTGATCCTTATGAAATTTTCCGTATTGGTATATTTTCACCGATGATTATGTTGGTGACTCATTGATTGTTTCCAAGTCAACCATTTCCTTGCCGTGATTGTATCTTTGTATTAATTGAGAGTAACAGCAAAAATACTCTGGGGTCTTGTGTATATAAGCCGGATATAATTTCCTGTATGGGTTGTCCAACATTTCCCGTAATCGGTTTATCTAAAAATACAAGTTTCAGGTCACGTATCGAAAGCGATCATTTTAAAAACACAACATAAATGCACAAAAAATATACATTTAACAGTTATTTCATCTTGCCAACACATTATAGTAAATTAAGATGATCATCCATGTATGGCCTTTCTGATCAATCATTGTTAAAGTGATGAATAATATCGTTATTAAATCGTCTATCATCAAAAATATCACATTATTGGTAATCGTATTAAAAATTATATTTTTATTTATTTATAAAGTAAATCATTTTATCTACTTTTAAGCGGTATGATACGACCAAATAAAAGGTTCAAATGAACTCAAATACGAAGCGTGACATATTTTATTTGTAGAGTCCAAAGTAGGCAATTTTTGCACTGTTGGAGCATTGTTTCAGTGGTTTTATATGGGAGATTCTCTTTACTATCACGGTTTGGACTTTGAATGACTTAATTGAAATTAATTTAATTTCAATTTGTCAAATATACACACTGAAAAAGCATAAGATTATCTTCCGAATTTTGATTCATGCATATAATTTTTAATAAAACCTCACCGATTTAATTGTATTCGTAATGGAAGATATGTATGTTATAAACAATATTACAAATTTTTACAATCATAGTAATATATTTTTTCCATAAAATTTTCTAGATGGTTTGACGACGCATATTTGCAATATAAGATAAATCAAAATTGCACCGTCAGAAAACGTGCAACAACAAAGACCCTTCAACAAGCTATCGAAAACTGCTCACCTAAACAATTATAACCACAATACGGATATTTACGTTCAATTTGAGGATCCGCCCAAAACAGACAGAAATTATCTTAAGATCTATACGAACAAGAAATAAGCTTCAAAACATCTTAACATTGGTCATGTTTATCAAGACAAAATCTTCACAATTCAGGGCAAAGAATTTAGGTGGTTGTTAGATCACCTGGAGCTGTATAATTTACTTCGCTTTTTTACACTACGACAGACAATTTGCGTTTGTCGAATACAAAAATGTACATATACATAAAATGTAAGTTCAAAAAATTTCCCACAAAGATTTCGAAACTATCAAATTTATTTTTAATCTTAGGATCAAAGAACTATTTAGGGGCAATCAAGTTTGACTGAATAGACAATACACATGCTTGTTATACTACTGTATAATATATTTTAAATTTTTCTCACCGATTGTACTAAAAATAAACCGCAATATTGGTCGCTGGCAAAACATTTCAAACACCTAAAATTATAGGGTTGAATTTATAATTACAAGCGAAAGTAATACTTTGTGGCCTATTAGGTCATGCTATTTAAAATATAAATTTATAATCTGGTCCTTTGGGTGAAACTTTATTACAAAGCACAAAGCACGAGTATTATACATGATACAGTAGATTTCTGTGCATTATAATTAACCTACCATGTTACCCTAAATGAAAAGCATTGTTCGTCACAAATGATTTATTAAAGATGCCTGCATTGAAGTTTGTTCTGTGAAGTGGATGGAATCAATGAAACAAACTAAGTACGAAGTCCATTCCACATTTGAATAAATCCAATATCTTAATGATTCTGTTCTTGTATGTGCCATCAGTATTATCGAAAAGTTTGACACTGAAACATGAAAATAAGCTTATAAATATGATATAACTTTTTATTGACAAGTACTAATATCTGAATAGATTGAGCTGTTTTATCGATAAAAGTTACTGATTTATATAAATATTGGTTATCGTTGTTGAACACGTGCTTACGTTCAAAAAATTCATCTTTTTGCCCTAATCAAACATTTAAAAGTGTTTCTGTGGTTTTCTCCCTGTCTTGTAAAATCTATGTAAGATGATAGCAAACATGAGAATCATTTTAAACGATACTGATAGAATAGATAGCTAATTTAGATATATGTAACAGGAAAATGTCACCAAAATGGCCCCACGTTTGTATGCTTTAGCTATGTATGTGGAACGGTATACTTTCTCAATAGTTGAATTTATATGCTTTGAATATTTATGTTAAGAACTGTTACATAAATATAACATTATTTTTAAAGTATGAGATTTTAAACAAAAATATTCTAATAAAAACTGGTAGTTATGATAACTAAAAAATATGAATGGTATGTAAGAAAAATATAAATAGGTACAAGCCATTCTCCTTATGATTGTACATCCGTTCGTGTACAAAACAAATTTTCATATTCGGCAATGTTTGAAGATATTATGATATTGTTATTAGTCATTTCACGGTACAGTCTAAAACATCTGAGTTATAACAAGCTACTACATTTAAATTATATATTTGTTTCGACGTTTGTTATATTGACCACAATATGACCTGCACCGGATGAAAATTTTTTGAGTGTACAAATATCATCAATAAAATTATAAGATATCACGATCTCAAATTGAAAGCAGCAAATTGTATAAACTTACATGTTATTCCGTCATAACTCTTTCAATCAAATTAATTGGTTTCACTTAGTCATGAAATTGCGATATGAAAGATCTTTGTGCAATCATAACAAATAAGAGTGTGAGTATTTGTTGTTGTTCTCAGCCTTATCATAAACATCCAACTCGATTTGTCAAAATATCAAGCAACCGATCAAGACTGTCAATCATCTAAAACACCGAAGAAGGATCAGGAAAATGTTAAATGGGCAATTTTAATTAATGTTTATTATGTCAGTAAACATGGTCATATTTAAAAAAAAAATTGAAGAAATAAAAAATTTTTTTTTTTCAAATAGCAAGATGTCACATATATATATATATATTATTGAGATGAAAAATGGTTCTAAGTGTCGAATTGAATTGAATTTTAGGAACGATACTCAATAAAATCACGATTTTAGTTACAAAATCACCATGAAATGATAAAGATAATGTTTCAAGATATATGAAAAATTGTGGCACGATAAACGCTGATGATCTCACCGTCTGGAAAGTTTTTCCCCAATGTGTTTGTTGAGTTATAAGATTCGGTTTCATCTACCTAGACTTAAAGTAAAAAAGCAGATTTTTCTGACGAGTTAAGCTCAATCAAATAAATATTACTGCGGTACAATATGATGTAACTCATAACCGCATACATATACATTGGAAGTATATTTTTGTTTATATCACTAACAAAAGACATGCAAAAAAATATACCAAATTTCGGATAAAATATATGCAGATTGGGCAGTAAACAGCAACTTATGGTCAATATTAATTTCATAAAGTGAAAATACGCTATGACGTGATGCAGATGAAATAATTTTAAAAAATATTGAAACTTAACATTATGGATAATCGCTCAACTTTACTTAGCCTTGAGGTTACTTGCCGCCGTCGTATTATTACCCATTTAGCCTATTTAAAATCTGCTTTAACTTGAAGATTTATCTGAATTGATTTTTAGCGAAACTTGCTACGCCCATACTTTAGAAAATAATTCCAATATTGTTTGTTAAGACAGACGGCTTATGGTTATTCACAGATGTTAAGGCATACTTAAATATATCACTTTGTATTCATATTACGATGTT